GCAATTTGAGATGGATTTCGACCCAGTTGGTGATTAGTACGATGGCCTCCAGGCTGGTAAAGAGTGAAACCTTTATGTGTTTTCGATGCAGATCCGAGAGTGTGAGGATACTCCTGTGACATCCAGGCGATAGCTTTACCTATATATCGGTCCCTTCATCCCAATTTAGAAGAATAAATTCATGAGGTATCTATATGTTTTGAATTTCATCCCCTTCGTAAATTCTCTCAAACCGGCTCTCATTGATATTGCTATGAAGTAATTTGAATTCCTAGGGAGTTTACAGTTGGATTGCTTGATTATAAGCTTGTATTGATAGATTTTGATTTGGCTAAGATTCTATTCAAATGTTTTTAAAATTAATTTACGATGTTAGTATTAATATGTTCTGAAGCCAGATTTTGAGTGTGCTTCAATTGTGCTCTGCAATTTGAGTGCATCCTTCAATTGTGCTCTGCAATTTGTGTAAAATCTGGAAGGTAATAGAAGTTTTGCAGAGGATGAACTTTGAGTTCCTGCAAAAATGTGAAAAGGCAAAAGGAGTAAACAAAAATATTTTAACTGTAAAAAGTGTTTGTGCTAAAGAAAAGATGAAGCCACTTTTAATGCTTAATTGTTTATGTAAGAAAACAGTAAATTGGTGTTTAAGAAAAGTCTTGAAATGAGAAAGCACTCGTTATTGATGAACTTACACCCTAAGTTATCCCAAACAGAATCATACGGAGTAATATCTATTTTGATAATAAAATAACTAAATTGAGGATATCCTTTATTGCAAATAAATGAATGGATCTTGTGCTCACGTTTTGACTCTATTTTTATGATTTACTGGTTTCACAATACTGCTCATTGGTATTTTCTTTTAAAACTGAAGACACTTTGTAAGTTTACCATTTTCTTATTTAGAATTTCATATATAACCTGGTTTTCTGCATGTACAGATAGGTGAACAAAATATTTTTTACATGGATGATGATGTTTTCTACTATACTGTGTTGTTTTATATTGTTCGGCAGTTACTTAGGCATGAAAGCTCTTCAAATTGATTCATTTACAAAATCAAAGAAAGAGCTGCCAAAGTTGAAGTTGTGAAGAAGCGCACATAGAGAAATGTGGCATAATTGCTTTACTGGGAAGGAAGCGTCACCGGATCGGTTTTGATTTTTTGTTCACCCCTATGTAAATGTAAATATACTAAAAAAACAAATTGTTGGTGTTTTTCTAATATTGTTATATAAGGATAGTTCTCATCTTGAATGTGAAGATACACATTAAAAATGTGATACTTTAATAAGTTTTTTTTGTTGCTCTTTGTTGCATAGTGTCGCTTTTTCTTGCTCTATGTTTTTTGTAGTGATACTTTTGTATACTCAGTATTATTTTTGTTGCTTTTTGTTGTATTAAATGTGTTGTTTTTTGTTGCATCTTGTTGCTTTTTGTTGCATCGTGTTGCTTTTTGTTGCACTCTGTTACTTATTTTTTTTTTATAGTTGATCATGATTTTTGTTGTTTATTTTGATTTTTCTTTATCTTTGCTACTTTTTTAAAGTAAAAAAAATCATATACGGATTTACATTTGATCATAAAACTGATAAATTTGGATTTATGAATAATCAATAAAAGGAATTAACAAAAGGAAACAATAGGAAACATAAAAGGAAACAAAAATAAACAATAAGCAACAAAAAACAACAAAGCTGTATAATAAGTATTATTTAATTTTGTTACAATTTTTTTAAAATGAATTACAAGATTCATGTTTTAAATACTTTTAATTGTTTCAATGTTGGTTTTTATTATTTATTATTTTACACAGTTTTTACTTGCGAGTTACTAGTATATGTTTTTCATGCTTTTTAGTTTACTTATATTTTCGTTTTTTTAAAATTTTTAAATACTTTTCTAATTCCATTTGATTTTGTAGCATTTAACATGATTTTTTAACCTTTTCAAATCTATATGTTTATTTAATGAATTTAGAATTTTCTACTCTTCACGGAGTATATGTTTCGGTTTCTAAAATAATTTCATAAAATCTTCTAATTGCCTAGGATAATTTGTAATATTTTTAAAACCATTGTTATATTTTTCATTACTTTTTAAGATTCTATTAGAGATTACTATTAATTTTTCAATTTTTTAGAAAGTTTTTATTTTTTAATTGTTTATTATATATTTTATTTTTGTTTTTTAAAAAACAATTATTTATATTATTTATTTCTCATACTTTTTATAAAAATTAAGGGTCATATGAAGTCTTCTCAAAATTAAAATTGCAAAAAAATGTTATTTTCTACAATTTTAATACTTTCTGAACTATTTTTGTAACGTATTTTTAATTTTAAATTCCTTTTTTAATTTAACTTACAAGTTTTAAACCTCAATTATTTATTATAAGCTATTTGATTTTTTAATTTGATTGTTTTTATTATTTTCTTAATTTTATCTTATTTTTAATACGTTTATTATTTCTAATTTTATTCATCTTTTTTACACTTTATTAAACAATTCTTATTTTCAATATAAAAAAGTGAATTGAGTGATCTTTGGAATTATACAAATGTAACAAAGTGGGTGGATGAAGTGTATAAAGGCAGGCTACTGCTAACGGCACCGTATTTGAAATATTTGTTCCAGTGGGTTGCTTCCGTATACATAGTCTATTTTTGAAACGAAATGTTTAACTAGTCTAGTTTTGAAAAGAATTTCGTAGAGTGACAAAAGTGATATAGTTTTCCCGTTTTTTACTATTTGTGAAAAAATCCCAAAATACAAGCCGTTGAGGCCCGAAGCGGGTCCGGACTGGCCGGGCCGGGCCCTATTTTCGCTGACCCGAGCCCGCTCTTAGTAACATCCAGTGCTGGCCACCCGGACCGGTCCTGGACCTGGTTACTGGGCCAGGCCGGTTCCAAACCTGCAGTGCCGGGCCACGGGCCGGTCGGCCCGGAACCGGTCCATCTTTCATCCTATTTTTGCCTTATTGGATCCTATGTAGCAGATTGTTGTGGCGCCCTCCATCCGTTTAGCACTGTTGCACATGCGTTAATTATCTGTTCAACATTGACCTGCTTTTCCTTCCAAACTACTTCATTACGTGATTTCCAAATACTCCACATCATTGTGATTAGCATGCAAAACTCCTCCTCATTTTTACTTTAAAAAGTTGCTTGCAACCACTTCACTATGTTGTCAACTTGCCCCGGCACCATTAATTTCATTTTCCTCCATACTTCTGCTGCCATATGACAATCCCTAAACAAATGTAGAGAAGCTAATTAAGTTTTTTCCTCAACATTGCATAACCCACAATTGGCTTGAATATTTACTTTTTTCCTTCGTAAATTCACGGCTGTGGGTAACGGATCCGGAACCTCTGCCATACTTCAAAGTAAGGCACCGTGCCTGGCCCTCGGGAACCATCCGATCAAAAGATGGACGGTCGGAGATGTTGAAGCGCAGATCCCGAGGCCGCTCTTCCCCCATCTGACGGTCCTCTGCGCGCAAGGCACTCTGCCGTGCGGCAGAGGATCCCAATCCGTGGGTAACACCTCATTCATTAGTTGCCAAAAAAGTGTTTTATTTTAGGTGGTATATAAAATCTCCATATACTAGTCCACCCAATCCAGTTGTTTACTGAGATTTCCCCGGTCAATTTTCTGTACCCTCTCTTTATTGTATATTTCCCCCGAATGGCCGAATATCACCGGTCCACCAATACACATCCCTTACCTCCCTACGACTAAGGGGAATACTCAAAATAGCAGTTCTCTCATGCATCCGTTGAAAAAAGAGTTTGCAAGCGCTCTATATTCCAATATTCCAACCCGATCTATCCTCCTTATTAATAAGACATGCTACATTCATATCAAATACACTTGTCAGTTTCGGAGATGAAACCATACCTCCCTCCTTAACTGGTAACCAACTATCGTGCTAGATAAAAATATCTCTCCCACTTACGACCCTTCGTCGAGATCCTTCTCTTATAACTCCCTGTGCCACCAAGATACTACGCCAAATATAGGATGGATCACTCCCTAATTTTGCACTTAGAAAAGAAGTTTTTAGATAATACCTTGCCTTGTACTTCGTACATTCTACTCACTAATGAGTTTGGGCCAGTCGTTAAACGACATGCTTGTTTTCCACGCCCTTCCAAATCTGGAATTACTACGTAGATAGATTGGTTTCGGAGTTCACACGAGTTTCTCCAAATCAATATGGTCTCTCCCTATTGTAAAAAACCCTGGAATAACATGTCATCAATCGTCAAGTACCTTGTAGTCTGATGACATCACTGTGACACTTCCTATTGTAAGAAACCCTGGAATAACATGTCATCAATCGTCAAATGCCTTGTGGTCTGAATACGACATCGGATGAACTCATTTCGAGTTGCAATGGGTTCCATATGCACAAATACACAGTTCTCGTTCACGACTCCAGTCCAAAATTATGAATAGAAAAAAACATACAAGTCTTCAGTGTTTTTAGGCTTACTAAATCAACCGAGTCACGAAAATTGGCTTAAATTTTGAATACGACATCGGAATACTAAATCAACCGAGTCAAAGATGTTGGCCTTAACAGAACAGATACTATATAGATTAGAAAGAATTGCTAAAAAAACATGTCATCAATCAATAAAATAATGTTGAATATCAAGTCATCAACAAGTCTGGGGCAAATGACAAAAGGTAGGGAGCAAATATGAGATTATTCTTTTTTAATTAAGATAAGAATTGATCAAGCAGCTCCCACGAGATGTAGACACCCAATATCCTTAATCAAGAATTGAAGAGACGAATTAATCAGTCTGATCGATTGAGCAGCTCCCACGAGATATAGGGACTTGAGTCCGTTTGAATGGAAGCCTTCATTACCATACGGCTCAAAATTACACTGTCCCTTTGTATCCCTCCATTTTATTATACGTACTCCAAGAGCCCTATTAGCTTGCCAATATAAATAAATACATGAGGCATTACAATGTTCAGGCCTGGCAAGTCAATCAAAGCGATCAAAGTTAGTTAGTTAATTACGTTGTATCGTGGTACGTAGTATAATACAATACAATACAATGTTTAAAATCGATTTGATGCCAGCGGGTGGAGGAGAATCGTGGGATGATGGTGGTCGTGGTCAAGTTGCTGCAATCCTCATTTCCTATTCTCAAGACTCCATCAACTCTCTGCGTTTCCTTTATTTCAAGGACGGCGAATTGCAGTTTTCTGAAGATCATGGCAAACTTAGTGGCAGCTCACAGATGGTCAGTCACTGCTACACGTTCCCTTCTTCTTTTGACATTCTTTGCAGAAAAAAATTGGGGTACACACAATTTGTACACGTGTCTGTCCCCCACAGACAAGTTGTCGCGACAGACAACTTGTCTGTGGGGGACAGACAATAGTGATATACTTTTACAGGGAAAGTTCCCGAAATAGGACTAAACCATTTTGAAAATTCCAAAATAGGATTGTCATTGTTTTTTATTCCCAAAATAGGAGTAATTACTGCCAAGTTTGAAAAATATTGCCATGTTTGAAGTCTGGTACTGTCAAAATATGGCAGTAATTAATCCAATTTTGGGGATAAAAACATGGCAGTCCTATTTTGAAATTTTCAAACATTTTTAGTCCTATTTCGGATAATATTGTCAAAAGTAAATGGGCAATGGTTTTTTATAAGAGCAAGTACTACCCAGGGGCGGCCCTGGATATTCGAAGGCCTAGGGGCGAACAATAAAAAAATGGGCCTAATTTTAAAAAAAATTGTAAAACACTTTTCTACCTAAATAAAAATGCAAAATAATAATATTTAAATACCTTTAGAATAAAGAAAATACTTGAATTCGTTAAATTAAACATAGTCGAATAATGTTTTCAAAATAACCGAATAAAAAATTATTTAATGATAAATAACGCCCCGATACAATACACTTGCTAAGGCCGGTGTCATCAACTATAGCGTCATAATCAAGCTTTTCTAAGACATTATTATGCTCAATACTTAATATAGCTAATCAATTAGTTAAATTTATAAATTTAACTAATTGGACTGCACGTTAGTTCTTCCTTTTTTTCAATTTTGGGCCTTTTGTGTTCTTGGGCTTCCTGAACTTGTACAAAATTATTAATTTTGGGTTAAAACTCAGCCTACTCAAATATACTATAAAGAAATAATTCTGGGCCTAAAAAATTTTCATTTTTTTTGGGCCTAGGGCACCCGCCCCACCTGCCCCCCCCCAGGGCCGCCCCTGGTACTACCATGTCTGAAAATATCATCAACTAACTACCGAGGACACAACTGTCTATTAAAATATGGTACTATATTATGAGTAGTATATTTACCCAAATATTCTGAGCCTAATTAATTAAGTAGTCTATTCATGGAATGATGGATCATAAGTTCATAACATGCATTATATTGAGGCAGATCAGACTAGGCTATCCAACGGAGTTCCTCACTGCGGTGCATGGCTATCGTACCAACAACAATGGAGTATCGTCGATAACATTTGTGACAAACAAGGCTAAGTATGGACCCTTTGGGGATACGGAGGCAACGCCCGACAACGATTATGACATCGCATTCAAATTCCGACGGAGCAGTGCCGGTGATTCCATCAATGGATTTCACGGAACCGTAAATAGTCATGGTCACATCGGAAGCATTGGTATTTATTTACATACGGCGACTTCTGCTGCTCGCCCTGATTCCAAGCCGCTTAGTCTTGGATCATGACTTCTAAAATTATACTCCCTATTACGATAAATAAATTTGATCCAAGTAATCAATGTTATGCGACATTTTGTATACGATGTGACGTCGTTTCCATCAATAGAATAAAGGGAAAGTTTCTGAAATAGGACTAAAACAGTTTGAAAATTCCAAAATAGGACTGTCTTGGTTTTTATTCCCAAAATAGGAGTAATTACTGCCAAGTTTGGAAAATACTGTCATGTTTGAAGTCTGATACTGCCAAAATATGACAGTAATTAGTCCTACTTTGAGAATAAAAACATGACAGTTCTATTTTGGAATTTTCAAACCTTTTTAGTCCTATTTCGGGTAATATTCTCTATAATAAATAATACTACCTCAGATATTATATTGGGACGGAAGATGGTCATACGTTTTTTTAAGAAAAGTGAATTTATGTGGTTGATATTAATTGATAAAATAAGAATAAAGTAAGAATATATGATTTTGAGCCACACAAACTATACCAAATATGGTATGAAACAAATTTAGGAGACTTCTTGAAAAGGTAAAATGGGACAATATAAGGGAAGGGAGGGAGTAATAATAAATGCCAACATTGTTGTTATTTGCAAATAATGCATTACTTTTGTTACTTTGCATCGATCTACGCATTTTCTGAATTAAAATAGTGTCACATCTCGGGCATGCCTTGCTAATGTCATGTTAAAATGTTTTTAATTGGACAGTTTTCAATCTCAAACCATATCAGATCAGATTTGAATAATTATGAAATACTTAGAGACCAAATATTTACCAAATCAGATAAGACCATATCAGATCATATCAGACCAGAAAAATTTTAGTCTAAATAAAAACTTCCTTAATGTGATCTAAAATGGTAAATATTAATAGATTGTGAATTATTTACAGAAATTGTCAATAAAATTTTTAATGTTGAAGAAAATTTGTTTATTAATTTTTTTTAGAAACGAGAAAGAGGACTTTTAAAAATGGATGTGAATGTGATGTATATTATTCTTTTGGTTTTAGACTAATTATCATTTTCATTTTCAGTTATTTAAGCACCATTACAAAAAACAGTGTTTTTGTCACAAATTTTTGTCATAGATTTAGTCTGTGGCAAGTTTGTCACGGATTTTATCGTGGATTTATTTCCCACATCACCAATAACCTTTGTCACGAACAGAATCCATGACAAAGTTTTGTCACGGAATTAGTCTGTGTCAAAGCTCGTGAAAACTCTGCTCCGGTGATCGGAAATTAATGCCGACGATTTTTATTTATTTATTCCGTTGTCTTGTCACAGACCACATTCGTGACAAAATAATAATATTTGTTTGTTTGCCACGGACCAATTCGTGACAAATCATATCCGTGACATTAAGTATTAGTATATACTATCGTATGCAAGAACAGTTTCATTCGATTTATACCAGTTTAAATTTATTCAGAGTATTATACATTGTCTGTTGAAAGATTGAAGGATGTAATCTTATGTCATTTGAATTAATTCATGTATCTGTTTTTAATGCTAAATTGACGAGCACTTTGTCGTGATGTGTCTCAAATTAAATACAATACACAACGATTATACGTAGTATAACGAAGTAAGGTTTGTATCTACATGGAAAGAAATACTTCTCTTTTTATAGAACTAGTAACAAAGGGGTGGTTTAAAATTGTAGAACTTTAAAGACAATTTAAACACCAAGTTAAACGACTCTATGCGGTTTAATTAATAGGGATGAATACTTGATTTTGCTCAAGTAAAACCCTAGAATATTCTCGACACCGATTGTCATTATGTTTCTCTTGTTCGTTCAGCATGAACGGAAGAAAAGGCCCATTTGGCCCACTTGAATTTTGGACTACACGTTTACTGCACACCTTTGAATCTGGAGCTCGGGTCATTTCGTTTTCAAATGTGAATCTCTTTTATTAATAGATGTAAATGTTTGCCGACATTACCAATTACCACACCATCAATCGGTGGTTTCTTGGGTTACAAAAAATATTTGGTTTTGTTTTTATTCACTTAATGAAATGTTCGTCGATCCCGATTAAATCTTTAATTATCTTTCTCTCGAATACTCAATCGAGGAGTATCTCCAATTCATCGATAGTAGTTATTAATAATGAGACGCATTGATTAATAAAACTTACTACCGAGTCAATATAGAACACGCCCTATATTAACCCGATAGTAGCAATAAACTTAAGATGAAAATGATTGAGATTGATAACCTCAACAAAAGCGGTTTATTGGTTTTATCAATATAATTAATTTCCCTTATATTATTAATCATGAGACGCATGCATTAATAAGCCAAGTTTACTACCGTGAAAAGACCGAACGATTAACAAGCGTAATCGTCGATCAATTCTAGTAATAATTAATATATGAAACAAAATTCGTTGATCCTTTAAGTAATGCTCAAAATATTAATATGAAATATGAATAGGAATTAATTAATATTCAAGGAAGAAGATGAAAGAAAATAACTCACAACTTACAATTCATTAAGCTTCAAAGTAGCAAAACCAAGATGGAAGAGTTTAGTTTCTCATTTGGAGACTAAACATGCTAAAAATATAAAGGAAATACTTAATGTTGGGTTGCGCATTTTTTAGCGGTGGGCCGAGCTCTAAGGATGATTAAATTTGATGATCCAAATGTTTTACCTATCCAGGCTAAAAGGGCCTATTGGATGGATTATTTTGGGATCCCTTCTCTCAGATTTTAATTTCTTTCTGTTTTTTTTTTCCTTCAGTCTGTTTTTACTTGTTACAGATTAGGTCAGGTTTGGCCCCTTTAATCTGAGTTTTACTTCTTTTGTACCATCTCTATTATTAATAAAATACTGGTAAATGCTCCCCAGCAAACATCACTGATTTTGGTGGTTGACCTTCCGGGGTAAAAAAAAAAGGAAATACTTAATCTAGACTGAGCTTTAGAGTATATGTGAATTGGTGATTTAAGAGTGAAAGAAAGGGGTGTATTTATAGGAAAATGGGAGCGTTCAGGGATGTGTGCCCGGTCAGGTATATAGGGTACCCGATCGGGTACCTGCAGAAGCTTCCGAGAAGCACAAAATGTTAGTCACATCCGACCGGGTATGTCGGTGTACTCGATCGGGTTTGACACTCGATCGTGGGCAAATATCCTCATTCGCGTCCCCTTGTTCTCGGATGTGATCCGATTTGTAAAACAAGTAGGTACCCCGGTCGGGTATAGAGTATACCCGACCGGGTAATGCCCAAAATCGAAATCTTCTTTTTTGTCTTGCATTTTGGCATCTTCCTTCCACTTTTGGGGTTCACCGATGGTCTCTTAAGTGATCATGGACCTGTTTGGGCTCAAAATAATCCTAACCTAAACAAATTACAAATATTTTACAAACTAAACTATTACATCAAAAGTGTACAATTTCCAAAGTAACAATCAACAAAACTAATAAATATAAAAACATAAACATGGAAATTACATGAATGTCAACTCCCCCACACTTAGTTTCTTTACTCGTCCTCAAGTAAAGCGAATTGTTTGCACAAAAGTTTCATAAGTTCAAGAATCAAAAGATAAGAACACAAGACAACCAAGGATAACAAATGAGTTCAAAACAACATTTCTCTTGGGTTTTTGGGTCTTCTATGTTCAAACTCTTCGCCTCTTCTTTTCTTTCTTCTTCTTCTTCTCCTCTTCCTCCAAGAGATGATGTCCTGCAAAAACACATATTTCTCTCATATCTCTCATTTTGTCTAGGAGCCTTTTCAGGTTTTCATCCTAGCATCTCTTTTGTTTTTCCATCCTTTCCACTCACTCATTTTTTTATAAGCCCCTTTTTCTTAGATTGCTCGTTTTTTGGTTTTCAACCTAAGTAGCAAATTTTTCTTTTATATACTCCCTCCGTCCCGTTGGAATGTTCCCGATTTGACCTACACACATATTAAGGAAATAAACTTACCAGGGGGTAAATTTTACTGTTTGGACACTGTTTGGACACTGTTTGACACTGTTTTGATGTAGGATAACTGTCCATTTAGGGAAATGAGAACTTTCCATTGGGACATCCAAAAAAGGAAAGTGGGAACATTCCAACGGAACAGAGGTAGTATTTATATTGTTGTTTTTTGTGTACATAGAGTACAAGAAAATCATGTTTAGTACAAGGTACAAAAGGGAAATTTATATACTAATGAGGAGCCCCCCCCCCTTCTTAGTCCAATGCACTTTCCCTAGTGCTCGCCTTCGCCGCCATAGTAGCCGCCTCCAAAGCCCCCGCCGGTGCCTCCCTCGCCCATAGCAGTATCGCCATCTATCTCGCCGTCATAGCCCCCACCACCGGAGCTAGAACCGCCAAAGTTAGCCCATTGAGTGAGGTCATACCAAAAGGGTGGAGGAGGAGGTGTAGTCATAGATGAGAAACCCCCATGATGGGCCATGTATGAGTACGTAGGCCCATACATCCTACGGTAATCTTCTTCATAACTCAGGTTGTCGGCCTCCCGTAGCTTCTCCAACCTTTGAAAACCCGCTTATTGCTCCGTCCGATACTCCTATATTCTTCTTTTTCTTTTCCATTGCTCCACCCTATAATGCCCAATTGTTTCCCGAGGTTGGGTGAATTCGCCTCCATGTTCTTGTATTCAAGGTTCATATTCTCGAACCCGGTGAGAAAGGATGTTGACCCATCAAAAGTTGTTGGAAAAAGTCTTGCGGTGGTGGGTTTTGAGGGGGATCGGGGATATCATGTTGGGCATTTTCTTGTTGTTCTTCGCGATCGGGTTGGGCTTGAAGGTGTAATGGAATGGCATTAGGAAGTAGATAGTGTGTTACCTTAAAGCTTGCCAATTTATACCTAAGCTTAGGTATTTCTTTGGAGGGGATGAGAAAGTAGCGGATGGGTTTGGGGTTGATGTGCCATTTGTAGTGCTTTCTCTCATTGTGGTCATGGTGAGAGAAAGAGAACAATCCCGTGTTGGTGAGCCATCCTATGTGCATCAAGCAATGTTCGGCTATTGGTGCATTATCCGTATAGCCAAACTTGGAGACCAAATGCATAATGACCCCCCTACTACAATGTTCCCAGTCTTTTTACAAGACCTTTCCAAATGATCCCACATCAAGTTGCATAAGTTGAAACCTACAGGCATTTGAAAGAGAGCTGGGGTGCGTATGGCCACGTCCCCCATCCTAGTGTGGTGATTGTTGGGACATCCGAGCAAGCAATTTGCCAAAAACTTCACAAAAAATCCGGAGAATGTGATGTTTAACGTGACTAATTGAAAGTTTAGACGCGCTAACAATCAATTCTCCGGTCATTTTTGCCCATAAAGTATGACC